AAGGTCCAAGGACGGTGGGGAAAATATCAGAAGTGTCAAAAATTACCCCTGCTCTGTCCCGCAGGCTGTCAAAGATCCAGTCATTTTCTAATGGATGTACTGCTACAGTGTTTCTATATTAAGCTGTTTTAAATGTGCCAGCTGATGTAAACATTGTGTATTTGTTTGTTTATCGATTTTAGTGTTCACGAAGGAGAGTATTTAGGAATGGTGCACAGCATAGGGAATGGTTACGGACAGGGCGGAAAAATAATATTGTTTGGGGGAAATTTTAACCAGATACTGCCTGTTGTTCCAAGCAAAAAAAGGTTCAAAGAATATAACATAGCTTGCATGTATAGTAAAGGGAGCATACATAACAGTAAAATCTGGAGGTAATTTCCGTTTCTTTACGTTTCTTAAATTAACTAAAATATGCGTGTTCCGATGAAAAGGAATTTGGTGATTCGCTTTGACAACTGGGAAACGGGACCCTAACCAGTATCAAAGTATTTAAAAATCAATCAATGATTAGTTTTTTTTAACAGTATTTAAACAGTAAACAGTATTTACTCACAAACAATTCTATTCGTTGCCTTTAGCAAACTTAAAACTCTGGAAGGAATTTAATTATTTATTGAAAATTAATAACAAAATACCAAGGTAATCAAAGAGAATGTTTTCAAATGCCTTCTTACTTTGTTTAAATATTACAATAATGTGTTTTACAGTTGAGATTTTTGGGGACTTCTGTCCCTACAAGCCTTTACGCTTATATTTTGTCTGTTACTATGTTTTTTTTGTGTTTGTTTTGGGATTTTTAATACCATCCTAATTTTTTAAGGTTTTTTGTAAAGGGAACTGTCCACACCCTACCATCAACTATCTAACATCGACCTTTTGTTAGATAGCATCATTAACTAATACCCAATTAATTATGGTTCAATTTGAATAATGTGTTTCCTTCTTTCAAATACCTTCAGAAAAATATTCCTACATTTTGCACCAATTATTTTCATTTCCAATCACAAGGGCAGAAAGAAATGGTGCAGCGTTTAATTGGAGACATCAAAGAATAAATTGTAATAGTTTTATGCAAATGGCTTCTGTTAAAAAGTGGAAATTATCTTTACAAAATTTAGTATTAACAGTATCACTAATATGTCAAAAGGAAAACAACTATATGGTGGTTGTGCATGAATTTTAGCTCTTAAATGAGCTCCAGAAGGTAGGTAGTTCAAACCCAGTTCATAGACATCCACATACATTTAAACTTGTATTAATACACATCCATCAACTCCAACTGACAAATCATTGATTTCAATAGGGGTGGTCCCCCTTTCTCAGAAACTGTATTATAGAATGTGATTAATACTTAGCGAGTGTCAAATTTACTTTGAAACATTACTGCTAGCTACACAAGACCAGTAGAGCAGACAGGTTACTTGCCTAGAGTGTATTTCAAGTAACCAGCCGCCAACTGACTTTGTTTAAACGCGGCTTTATAATTACATGGGTGTGGGCCTTGGCTTGAATATTAGTGGGGGAAGTAAAAAAAGAATGTGCTGGTGTCAAATTTGAATTATCTTTCTTGGCTAGACTGGATCTCTTTGTAGACCCTAATTTACAAACACATTTTGGAAAAAAATCATTCCTCAAAATTGAGCAAACTTTTTACATTTCTTACAACAATTCCCATTATTTAAGCTTTTTTTTCATAGAGAAATAAACATTAACCAAATTGACTTTTTCAGCAAGGCGAAGACTGTTGAGAGGTGTCATGAAACACACAACCTTTGTTTATGTCAGGAATTTTCGACAACATCCTTTCAAGTACAGAGACAAGTTTTCTAGCTACTCACTTCTGAAATTAAAAAGAGCCTACGTAACTTTACAATTCTACTTGACAGGGAGAGATGTAGAGAGAATACTACAGGAAAGGCCTGTAATAATGACAGGGTAAGATAATAATTATTTTTTTATTAGTATTTTCATTTACAATATATCCTAAATGATTGATTTCGTTGAGTTTCAAAAGACAAGGCCGAAAGATGCTTTTGTTACTTCTACATCCACAACTATAAAACAAACAATTTAATCATTTTTTTACCCTCCATGCTTTACAGATAACATATACTTTCAGGTGATACGAGTTTTTCCCTAATATTCGACCTCTGGTTTCGAGCCCAAATAAAGTAAATTTTCAAGTTTAACACAAAGTTGTTAAAAATCCTCATTGTACCTGGGAAGTGAAAAGTTGTAATTAATCCATACACACACAAAACACTGACATGAAGATTGATAAAAAAATGTTTATACCAAATAATAGTAGTCCAAGTGATTTAATATTCACCCTTATTTACAGAAAACTAGTTACTTTAGATTTAAATCCAGTAATTGTAAAAAAAACAAAAACACAAAAAACAGAATAACCTGACAGTATTCTAATAATACCTCTTGGCAATTGGTTAAAAGACAATTCTGTAATGTTTAAATTGGGTTAAAACTGGATTGAAATCAAAATACCTATGGAACTCCGAACTGTCGCTGGACAGTAACTTAGGAACCAATTTTGAACGGTTCAACAACACAATTTAACAACACATACAACAACAACAACACACTTACGATTCTTTGCCACCACTCATTTTTGCCTATTGAATATCTCCTTATGTTGACCTCAACTAAACAACTACTTAATCCTCGGGGTAGTGGTTAAAAAGGTCAGATTACTTTGGGACAGTCCTTTATGTATTGTAGTACAACAAATTAGATTGAGGCGAAAGCAAATAAACCTGTAACTTCTGAACTTTGTTTAATAATACCTTTCCTTGAATCATCCACTATGCTACATCAACTCTGCTTGAAATAAAAAGAATCCAAAATAAAAGATTCCAAAAACTATTTTTGCATTTTTGGAATATGTTTAGGTTCTGGATGAGACAAATGGCAGAGTTCCTAGCCAGGAGGTACAAAACTATCAAGAGTCTTCCTCCACCTGGTGATAAGGTTTATCAGTGGCCGAGTGACCTTGTACGACCTGACCTGGTGTTCTTCCTACACAGTCCACGGACAGGGACGCACATCAAGGAAGACACTGTAGCAAGGCTTGAGAGGTTAGCTTAGTATAATCTGGATAATTGAAATACTGTATGTTATTTGAGGGATTATTGAAAAACCTTTATTATCATGATTTGTAAAAAAGTTTCATAATGGTTTGGGTATGTGGAATCTGATCCTGTCCTCAGGTGAGAAAGGACCTAAAACTAACAAGATTTTTACACAAACTCTGCCAAAGCTGGAAAACACAAACAATAAGCCACACAAAGTATGTAGTAGCCAAATATAATAGACTACTAGATAGATAGACACTAGATGGTAGCTTGTGCAAGAATTCTTCCCGTAAAACACTTTAAAATGACAATGTAGTAGCAAAACCACAAATTAAAAAAAAAATGTTGGATGGTTTATAAATAAATAGTTTTACCACATAAATAGCTATGAGAATTTTCAATGAAAACCAATAAAAATGTTCACTTAAGATGTATGTTTTCAGGATAATTGAGATATATCACCGGATGAATCCTCAAGTAATAGACATCGACCAATCGTACAACAATGCGACTGAGAAGCAGTACAGCCAACTGAGAAAGACTATGATTGACAAACTAACTCCAACTTATCCTTGGGCACATGAGTACATCAAGTGTAAACTTCCATCTGACAAACTAAGACGCAAGGGTTTTGGAAAAAATAAAACAAGAGCAGGAACAGAAGGCGACCAATTCAATGTGACGGATGAAACCACCGCCAGTGCAGATTAAGTAAATATGTGTGATATGTTTTTGTACCATAAAATGTATTTTCGTAAATAATTTATTTACTTTCTCCCTAAGATAAATAATTTATTATCTTTCACTCATAAAACACTATAAAATCAACGCAGGCGCGAGCGAGCACTTTTGAAGAAAAGAGAAACAAAAACTTAATTGGCTAAAATTACACACAAAAAGTCATAGAAAATATTCACCTGAGATGAATAAAAAATATGCTCAATTATTTCCTGTGTATTAGAAGTGCTTCATACGTACATTGGAACGGTTGCCTTATCTAAAGTATGAAAAGATGTTTCAGCTTAAAACACAACCTTTGAAATAGTCTATTTCTACTGAAAGTATGGAACGAGTTTGAGTATTTGGGTTGATACCGCTTGAGCGTCAGAAGGGAGGCATTGAACATTTGTGAACTTGTTTATGTGATAAAAACAGTTTTCTTTATGACCAATTTTCTTTATAATCATGTATAACAAGAGAGATAATGCTGTATTATGTTTCTTTGATTAAATACAGAATTTTAAAAGTCGGCTTTTTTTAAGTAGCCTATATATTTTTTGCCTATTAAGATGATTGAAATATGAATTCTACAAACTTACATTCAACATTACATACAGTCACCAAGAGCTATATCAATAACTGATTCTTGTTGAATGTGCAGCATTTTTAACCAAACCAAACTGGAAGGACAACAAATTAAAGGAACTAGCATCTTTTATGCCGCAAACTACCATCGTGGTACCACATCATAAAGTACCGTGAGAGAGAAAATATTATTGTGACTGAAGCATAGGAACTCTGTGAAATACTCATTCAACTACTGTATGTCTAATGTGAATGAAATCGGTTACATCTGGTCCATTAAGGTGATTTGTTAAGGATGTACCAACAATTTTCTGATCAGTAGAAACACTAAGCTATCCAAGTCTTCTGCTAGAAGAAGCTAAAAATAAATACTAATCATTACAATAATTGAATAAATGTAATTGTTGACTGCTGTGTGTTCAATTCGATCTCCAAATCAAAGGCCAATCGCTTCACACCCTCATCTGCAATTGCTGTAAATTAGCTGATAACATTGTTCCTACAATGTATTACTTTCAAGACAAGAGTACATTACATAATCATAAAGAAATATTAATTTACGTCCAGTATCTTTTGGATCGCTAATTGTAGTTTCTTATCTGATCTAAGTGTTTAACCCATATTCTTTCTTAAAAAAGTCTTCAATGACCTGAATACTGACAAAATTAAATTTGACAAAGTTTTTTTTTTCTAACTGAAACAATGGAGGTGACAACAAGTATGTTTAACGTTGTTTATATCTCAGTCGTTAGTGCTTTTATGTTTTTCATGTTATGTAAAAGTGAGGACACAGGTAAGGTATTATTCATTACCTACATTTTTACTAGTAAATTTTCTGGTTATTAGTAAATTATTTTTTGTCATGCTAGAATTATAATTTACCTTGAAGCTTTATCATTTTTTAAATCCATGGTTGACTGTATTTTTGAGTTGGTTACATCGTAGCTTTGACAATAGATAGAACTAGGACATGTTAAAGTTTCTATTGTCAGTTTTAGAATAAAAATAAACATTGTTGAGCTGAACCTACAGCAGAGTGCTTATTTTAACCAAGTCAAAGTGAAAGGACAGATTATTGTACATTTTGTCATATTAACCTCCACAGAAACAAAAATCTAGGTCGAAAGTAGAATTTCAGACAATAACATATTCTGTGAGTGGCTTACTCAACTTATTATTTTCATATAAAATTGGCTAGAACTGGTCCTTATAGATGGGATGTTTATTTCAGTATTGAAAAGTCAACGATAGGAGTCATTGTAATTACGAGAAATAGTGAGATAATTTGTTTACAAATACATTTTACTGGGTGAAAATGACCCAACTTTTATAATAAGTCTTGGTTGTACAGTATTGAGTATGGTTAACACTAATTACAATAAAATACACTTTGATCTTATCCTAACCAATAGGTTTTTGAATGGTAAAATGGGTTTTAAGGAACTTTGATATATAATTCATAATTTTGTGGTTAAAAGTTATTCAAATTTTTAGTTAGGGATGTCTCTTTATATAGGTACTTATAAAATGGCTTGACATTAATTTTAATTCAAACTGATACTGATGTCTTTCAATTGTTAAAAACTGTACATGCTTTGTAGAATGTTTAAAGAACATTTTAAGATCAAACTAAAATTGCCAAAAGGAAAGGAAGTTTACACAGTAGAAACTTCTTAAATTTGTTTCAACATAAACAAGTTTTCATTTAAATGGGAAATTTATTTTTTGCAGGTTATGGTGAACCAGCTGATAATCGAGTTCGGTATTCAGGTATGGTAAATTTTTTTTCTATTTCATACACCATATCATATATTTGACAACTAATTTACTATAATCCTATAATACAGAAACTTATTTGAGCTTTACTTTCCTCAAACGCACAGAGCTGCTGGTTTAGTGGCTAGGTAGAACTTTTAATCCTGGTGGCCCAAGTTCATTATGTTCAAATCACCAATTAATTTTAGCCATACGACAACACGGTTAATTGCTCTCATACTCACATTTGTTAAGTCATCTAATGTGAACTAATTCTTTGTTACAGAGTCAATTGAGACGAGTCAAGATTTTGGTGTGTTTTATTCATTTGATTCAGTAATGCAAGTCTTCAATGATCCAAAGGTAAATGAGGTTTGGTAAAAAGAAGGGTTTATTTGTAAAGAAGAAATCTTTAGCAATGTTGTGAGAGTAGGCTGAAAGTGTCGATGAATATTCATTTGTTGTGCTGATATACAGAAAACTGTTGCTTATTTAATTTGTTCTGGCTTATTAAACTTGCCAGTAATTTTATAAAGGGGTCATATTGGTGAGAGATGGTAGTGTGAATGTCCAATTTGGAAAGTCGGAGCCCAAGGTTCAGCCTTGGGTCCAGGAAAAAATTATATTTAGATTTGGGTTAAAGTTGGTGTAGTGAGGGTTTGAGTTTATGGTTAAGTTTCCGAAATAATTTAGGATTAACCTCCATACTCTGTCTCAGAGTAAATTGAGAAGGCTATCTAGCCAGAGTGTAGAATGGGACAATGGCTGGGCCGACCCTTTGGATGGATCCCAATAGGAACGTCTTACTGAATACACCACTTAAATGTGTAAATTGTCACCATCAACAGGCATGTGCATTTTTAAAGATCCTTTGTCTATTGTTTTCAGTATTACAACACGACAGAAGTTCGGCAACTAATGAGGACTTACCAGGAGACTTATCCTTATGATCCTCGCAGGAAGTATGGCAAGCGGAAACCTTTCATTGTTGTTGAGAGCACTCGTAGAGACAGTGAGTTTAGTAAAACTACAATAGATTAATTGCTGGTTTATGAGCTTTCTCCTGATATTTGCAGGAGTTGCATTCAATTTTAAAAATTCATCGCTATCAAAGTCCGTCAACAGTTGATGAAGGTGAATGGAGTAAGTGTTTACTTACTCTTACTTTTACTCCCATGGTCATCGATACCCTAGGTGGTATTTGGCCTCGCCAACTACATCGAAAGTGGAGTAAGTGTTTGGATAAAGAAAATATGGGTAAGGAGTTGAGGGAGGACAGAGGTGGTCGTCAACATTATACAATGTGTTGCATGGTGTAGGCTGGCTGCAATCATATGTCAGCCTCGTTTGAGGCAGTGACCAATGTTTGTGGAATTTTGCTTGCAGATCGTGGTGTGACTGAACGAGGGATCACCAAACTGTTGACTTCTCTCTATAAGTCTATCAAGGACAACAGTAAGCCCTGAAAGTCTTAAACACAACAATCAGCAAGCAGTTTCCCCAACAATAATTGATAGAAACTGATGACACCTTGCCTCATTGTGCAAACACGAATGGCCTTATGCAAACTACCACTTACACATATTTTCTACGTTTAATCACTTTTCTGCATACCCATCTGTCAACTGGCAACGGATTCTATGGGGTTGATCTTTTCCCCAAAGTAACGTAATCACAGAACTTGATTCATACTTGGAAGGAGTGTAGACTTTTTTCTCTTATGGTTTTTGGCTACTGAGACCAATTAGCCATTGGGGTGGGAACCGGCTAGACTAAATAACCGGGGTGAGGAAAGTAATAAACACGGCACTTTGCCAGGACGGGAGCACTTTGGAGACCTTGGAATTTACTGACAGCCCTTGTAAGTGGAAGTTTGGTCAAGTTGGTCTTGCAACCGATACCTTGACCGTTAGAGCTGAAAGGATTAAGTCCATCCACCATATGGCCACTACATAACCTCAACAATCAACATATTTACAGGTCGGCGCACTACAGGGTGGATGTTAGCTCGCAGTACAGGGTCACGTTACATGAGCAACCCCCCACGTAGTCTGGTGCCTCTACGTGACCTGTACGACAATCGTGGTGGTCTTCTACGTAGAGCCTACTTTAGCATTAGCATGTATGCTGCTGCTCACGATGTGCTCGAAGTTATGTATCGCTATCCTGTTGTCATGGTAGGGTAAGTATTTTACTTATAGATGAAACAGCGATATTAAAAAAATATTTAATTAAAATTATTATTATTTAAACAGTCAAATCAAGTAAAATCAAAATTTATGTCACAAAACGTTTGTACATAGCATAGCTACAAAACAGGTGACATTGTCAAATTATAATAAATACATAGTTTGTCATCTTACATTCTATAGTTAAAAAAAAAATAAAATACTGACTTTATAAAATAGTTCACAACAAATACTCATAAATATGGTAGTAGTTTTTTTCTAATAAAAATGTTGATAAATTATTTTTAAATACCAATGTATTGGTTATATTTTTTTTGGTTATATTTTTGGTAGCCTATTTTCAAGAAAAGAAAGCTTTTTTCCCATGTATGTTGGTGTCTTTTCAATGAGACACAGACGATGGATCGGCAATTAAAAATTATTTTTAAACGTTGTGTTATATCTCTGATCAAGATTATCATTTTACAAATTTTTATAGTTTGATTGTACCATTACTAAGGTTTTGAATATGTATTAATTTGGAACAGTTACGATATTTAATTCCCTGAACAGTGATTTACAAAATTTCTTAAAATATGAGACTGTCATTATTCTTAAAAACCTTTTCCTACAGTTACCTAACAATGTACATGTTCGCTCACTGATTTGAGAAAGCAAAGTGGCCAATTCGCTCACCAGTGAGACAATGTTAACATTGTCTCACTCTAATTACTTTGTCTCACTCCAGATTTGCAACGTGAAGGCACGAAATAGTGAGCGCGTAACATGCAGGCAACGTCGTATGCGTGCGAAATGCGTTGGCGTTGGCTGTAAACCAGCTGGTCAGCTGTTGTACTGTTGTATCAATCAATCAATCAATCAATCTTTATTTGCCATAAGGATACATTTACATATCATTGACAAAGTCTATTTGCGGTTTTCAAACCAAGTCTTAAAATAAACAACAAAATACTCTTACAGGCCAAATATTACAATTAACATTCAACTCCATTCACATTCTTAACTGAAATTAAAACCAAACTAAAGGACAATTTCTCCCAGTTTAAAATAATCATCCAGACTATAAAAAGGGTTCTGAAGTAGATAATTATAAAACATGGCCTTAAATTTGTTAATTGAATGAAAATTTATATTATTTTTTACTGAATTATACACTTTAATTGATAAAATTATGTGGCAATTACTAGTTTTACTAAGACGATGGGATTCTAACAGCGCAGTATTTTTAAAACGAGTGTTGTGACTGTGATTATTAAATTGAAGATATTCAGGGTTTTTTAATATATAAACAATCAGATCATAAATGAACAAATTTACTGCAGTTTGAATTTGCAGATCTATAAAAAGAGGTTTACAATGATCAGGGTGCGTCCCTGTCATAGCTCTTAAAGCCCTCTTTTGGAGAATCAAAATTTCTTTTATTCTACTACTACCACCCCAAAGCACCAATCCGTATCTCATAATTGACTGGAAGTACGCAAAATAGGCCGTCCTTACATATTTCTTAGGAACCTGATCTACCAGACGATCTAAAAGATGCACCACACGAGACAATCTTGAAGATAAATAATCTATGTGAGCATTCCATGTGAGTTGATTATCAATTTGAAGGCCCAAAAATTTTACAGCTGTGTTATTATTTAGATCACTCATAGTGGGGATTTGTTTTAGTGTAAAAATCATGTTTTGGGTTTTTTCTTCATTAAGCAAAAATCCATTCGCATTAAACCAATTTGATGCTTTTAGCTTTGTTTCATGGACAAGATTTTTTAGTTCTGTTAGGTTGGGGTTTACATGAAAAAATGTTGTATCGTCAGCACAAAGAATAGTTTGACTCTTTACTGCCAATGGAAGGTCATTAAAATAAATTAAAAATAAAAGTGGACCAAGGACTGAGCCTTGGGGAACGCCCCATTTTACATTCTTTTCTTGTGACGTATTGCCATTAATACTTACTATTTGTTTACGATTGTTTAGGTAAGATGAAAAGAATTGTTGAGATGGCCCTCGAAACCCATAATTTTGTAATTTATTTATAAGAATTTTAAAATCAACACAATCAAACGCCTTGCTGAAATTAAACTTATTTGTCACTTAATCTATTTATCACTTCACATTAAATGTTATATTAAAAGTTCACTTCTGTGTAAAAATAGGTTATGTTACTTCACAAATTTATTTGTTTTATGGTAATTGTAGGAAAAGTATAATGTGCAACTCAAGTTCAAAGTACAATTGCCTCACTCGAGAAACCATTCCTCACTCGCCTACGGCTCGTGAGTAAGGATTTCTCTCGAGTGAGTCAATTGCTCACTTTTCTCACTAGTTGCACAAATAACTATTTCTGTACTTTAAAAACTTTAACTGAATCATATGTTAATCCCCAGAACTCAATCACATAGTACTAGCATTTGATAACAGGTAGAATTTAATTTACTAATACTAATAATATTATCAATATAGTTACTCCAAGAAAAATTAATATCCAGTTCTAAACTAAGAAATTTTGCGCTGCCACTAAGTGGTATTAACTGGTCCCGAAAGATGATTTCTGAACTATAACCTTCTTTTGACTGTGCGGTACAAAATTTAATAGTTTTATCTTGATTAAGTTTTGACATTAATTCACTTAAAACCAGCTTGCCAGTTCATAGAAAGTATAATTAATTTTATGCTCCAATTCAAAATGGGACTTAGCTATAATAATTGCTGTTGTATCATCTGTATAGTGTATATAGAGTAAATTTTGCTGAAACATTCCTAGGTAAATCATTTATATATAGTAAAAAAGCAAAGGACCTAAGAATGAACCTTGTGGGACACCCATTTTAATTTTCTCCCAAAGAGACTTTGATACAAAAAATTTTCATAATTACAGTTATTTGAAACCAGTTTTCTAGGTATGATTTAATCCATGTAATTGATTGTTTAGAAAATGTGTACACATCAAGCTTTTTTAAAAGTATACAGTGGTTAACACAATCAAAGGCCTTGGAAAGGTCACAGAAGACCCCCATGGTACTCTGTGACCCATCCAGAGCCCAAGATACTTCGTTAACAAGTTTGTTTACTGCTCCTACTGTACTGTGACCTTTTATAAATCCAAATTGCTCAGCGACCAGGATTCAGTGTGCCTCTAGAAATGTTGAAATTTGATTTATTGCTATTTTTTCAAAAATTTTGAAAAAAGAAGGAAGAATAAATATCAATAGCTGACAAACAGTCTTGATTATTCGAAATTCTGCATATAATCGAGTCTGCAATTTTTGGCTTCCAATTTGAGAAAGTTAATTATTTCAATGAAAGATAAACATATCCTTACATAAGATTGCCAAAAGAGATAGGGTGAGTCTAAACCACAACACCATAGAGAGGGTAGACTTTTCTTGTTAGTTCACATTGATAAAAATCCATTGTATTAACAAATTGAAATTAACCCTATTGATAAGAATATGTATGTAATAGTTCTGCTACGCACACTCGACTAATAAACTAACGAAGTTGGCCGTAAGTAGCATTAGAATACTCTTGATTGATTAGTCTAGGACGCAGGACGCTAATCTGAAAGCTAGACTGATCCAAACAAACTTTTGGGGGAAACGATTAATGTATTTTAGATGAAAAACAAAGCTTTGTGTTCTGAGTTACTAACACTATAGAGCACAGTATTACTATTTACATTACACACAGAAGTATTTGATTTACTCTGATAGAACAATGAAGGCCTATCGTTCAATGGTGAATGTTGATGTTTGTACAACTGTGGGCTGATAGCTACTGTCCCCAGGTATTGGCATGACCAGGCAGCGTTCGCCATAGCCAAGGAGTACCCCAACATCAGAGATCTGCCACCAGAGGGCGACCCTATCTACAGATGGCCCAGTGATCTTCTCAAGCCTGACATGGTCTTCTTCATCAACTCACCTGACAGGGAGAGCTCTGGCTGGAGAGTCACACCTAAACCTAACTTCTTCAAGCCAAGGTAATATTTTCACTGTAAGTTATGCAGTGTTGGAACATGTCAACCCTCTGAGGGAAGATTAAAAAGAAATTTATGTACAATCATAATTAAATTAGATAGCATGATACGCTATACTACATAGGCAAACAGGGAATCAAATAAGTGCTGGGAGTGAGATCACCTGTTAGAAAGGTAACTAACAAACTATTGTCTTGGCGGTTTGTAACTACTGTACACCGTCAGGGTGTCTACTACATTCTGGATAAAAAATTCATGGACAATTCCCGTACATTTAAGGACACTTTGCCGTAACCTTTGTCGGTGTCATTAGGCCTACCGAATAATTTTCCTGATTTGTCAAACTGTATTAATCTTGTTATTCACTGTAGTTGTACCAGAGAGAAAAGTAAATATTAATAGATAAGAGTTAAAAATTTCAAAATAGAAATTTATTGAAAGTAAACAAACATAGGCCTACCTATACTTTAGGTAAAGCTTTTATAGTGTAACAGAGAAACGCAATCATTGTCTCCTGCGATAGCAACAAATATCTCCATCGGTCACGTAAACTTCATAACATAGCTTATCCGACCCAGGCCGATTAATTTGGCATGATTCGCCCTGGCACAACGTTAGGTTCTCCGACTACTTTTGAAAAAAAAAATCTTTAATGCATATTGTTACTCAATTCTTAGTACAAAATCAAGGTATGGTAAGCGGCTATTAATAAGCAATAAGCACAGAGTAAGATTATTGTATTTCCATTTGCAAAGTTAATATCGACACATAGCAATCATTTAGTTGTTTATCTTAGGCTCAATTACATTTTCTTGATATATTTTATAACTCTTTCAAGAATCAAAATACCCAGGCCTAGACCTAATTATTTAGGAGGGCCTATATAAACTGAGTAACAAACAATGAGGTTATAATAGCAGCAAAGTCACTATCACCATTCTAGTTCATAAGATTTAGATTGCTTAAAGCATACAACTCAATAAATAAATATATGGGAAACAAAAAACATTGAAACCTGAATAGCCAACAATATAAGACAAAGATACAGAAAATGCAATGACATAATTTGAAACCAAGCAGGTCTACATAGTGATAAAACATTAATGCAAACTGCAAACAACAATGCTTGTGGTTTTGTCAATTGAAAGATAAAATGTCCATAAAAAAGGGGTTAACTTACAAAATAAGACTGTAGATTATTTACATGTTTAATATGAAACCATAAACAGTTTTATGGCACTAGGCACTGGCCGCGGCAAATTGTATCTTCAAGCCGAAAGTACAAGTAAGAAGTGGAATTTAACAGCCATTATAAAGCTATTATTTTCATGATAAACTAGGTTTGGGATCTAATAATAATTACCCTAGTAATAAAAAAAGAAGTTGTAAAGGAATAAAAGTGATACAACTTTTATGAGCTAGCTGCTGAGTCAACAGTTCTTGGAAGTACTTGACTTGACACTTGATTGTCTGATAAAATATTAATGGGTTTGAGATTGCTAATGGCATTTTTATTGCATAATTACTCTAGTAATAAATTATGAAAATGTAAACAAACATCTGATAAACCTTTTATGTGCTCCTAACCAACTAGTGATCAATAAAATTATGGCCCATTAATAATTTAAGGACATAGTCTGAAATTTAAGGACAATTCCCGTACATTTCATGGCCAGTAAAAATTTAAGTACAATACCCGGTTTTCCCGCATTTCCCGGTTGGTAGACACCCTGACCGTACATATAATAGAATAGAAATACAGTAAAACAACAACAAAGATAACGCAGCTCAATGCATAAAAAAAATAATTATGAACAGTCATAGTTAAAAAGAATTTTTTTTGGAAAAAATTACTAAACTAGAATGCATAAGTAACTAGTTTAGTACTTGATTACACTCGTAATCCTTTCATGAAGTGGAAAGCAGATTTTTACAGCTCGATTATTTATTATTTTACTACAAATATGTGTAAAAAACTGTACAACACCCATTGCTGTAAAAATTTCTGTTGAATGGTTATTGCAACTTATGTAATTTCTCCCCTAGAATATCGTAGTTACTCCCACCGCTTAACCGTGGAGTTGTTGACAAGCTAATGAAATAGGAGAAAGTAGGTGTCGAATTGCTGTTACCATGCCTTTTATTTATACAGAGATTTTCTTCAAAGTAAGACCTTTTTTTCATCCCCATTGGTTCATTTTTAAGCTGACACTATTTAAACCATACAGTACTCCAAATTCTCTTTATAACTGGGAAGAGTTGTTAAATACACAAAACACAAACACGAAAACATGAAATAAAAATGCTCTAATAAATTGCTCTAATACAACCGCTGTTGACAGGTTGGTAGAAGTGATGAGGCGCATGTACGGGATGCCGATAGTAGAGATCAACGATACATATCTCTACGACGACATCCTCATCAGGATGCAAACACATCTAGAACACCACCTGCCTGGACGACTGAACTTCCAACAAGTGTTCTATAAAGATATAATCGGATACAGGAACGAAGAAGAAACGTGATTTTAATAAATTATTAACAAAATTGTTGTCATCTAATTTAAGACCTACATACAAAGCAAGAATATAATATAAATTATAAAGAATTCAAAAAGAGGGAGCTAGCTGGTATAACGGTATAGCGCAAGGCATTGACCCTTCAGATCCTGAGTTCAAATCCCACCAATCACCACTGTGTGCTAGTGCCACAACTATAGGCCTAGTCTGAAGTGATGTGTAAACAGTTCCTGACTAGAGCCTAGCATCCTAAAATGCAAGGGTAAAAGAAAATACCCCACCCAACAAACCTGCAGATTAAGCGAATTTCCATTTGTAAACGAGGTTGGATTCTCGCTAAGATATTCCCCAAAAATTTGATTGTCAGATTTATTTTATATTCCATATTTCTAAGAAATCACAAAATCGGATTTTTTGGGGGCCAAATATGGGGAAAACCAATTTTCACCCCATAAACCCCTGTTCTCATAGACCAACCGTGCTAGTTCATAAATTTGTTCTGAATAAACATACGTTGCTCTGAATGAAACTGAATGCTCATCATGGGACCTCACTGACCCTTAAATTGTTGAAAAAAACTTGTTTCCAAAAACAATTATTGATGAAAAAAATAGACACACTGCAATAGGATACTTAATAAAATTAGGACCTCATGTGACTATTTTTTATATGTCATTAAATTAAAGGACCAAGGCAAAGCAGAGGTTGGAAACTGAACAAGTGTTAAGAATACTTTGGCCTGTGTAATTAACCAAATTTTTATATAACTGCACCAAACAAATTACTAAATGCGATTTAGCCTAAAAATAAAGGGCTGTTATTAGGTATTGTGTAAAACCAAATGACTAACAAATAATTTATTTTAAAAGGTTTTTATTGTACAAAATTACTTAAACTATAGGAGAACTATTCCACTCATCAATCGAGATACAAATTATTCTTATCCTTCTAAAGTTTGTAGGTAAAATAATTTTATCTTTAACATTTTTTAGTAACTGAAATGTTGTAGCAAAAGACAGACAGTCGAGTAGAATATATAATTTGTTTTGTGTTTCACCATTTAAACTTTTACCTCGTTTGTATGAATAGTAACTGAAATACTGTATTTAACTTTTTGTCTTAACCTTTAAAATTGTTGGTCTTCTTATGCAACTTGGTCTAAGTAACATAGATTTATCAATACCTTTTACAAATTAAAATATAAATTATCACAACGATGTAATTAACAAATATTTGTGAACGCAGAACACAACACGAACCTGCAACAGAATGAAGCACTCCATGTAAACATTATACATTTTTTACTGTTGTCATTAGGTGATGTTAAATTTGATTACGGGCCTAAATTAACTCTTTTTCATCACAAGATAAAGTTTTACTATATTACAAGGGGCGAAGGTTGACAATTTCAGTGATGAATACATTTTTCATCATATTGTATTATAGGCCTATTTAAATTAACTAATTCCCAATACAATTTTGAATATTTTTTACGTTGATATCATCTTTCTAAACTGTTCCCATCATGATTTGATATTAATAAAAGGAACGGATGGAACTATACTTTTAGTTCCAGATGACACAAGAAAATATTTTTCTTCCCGAGCAACAAAGGAAACTTTAGTTTGTTGTCTTGAGTGATGATAACATCTCTATGCACTATTTACTCACTTTGTTTAAATTATTTGGAAAAAAATTAATTGAGAAACTTTTAATGACTGTACTTGAACCAAACTTAAATACAATATTATAATTCAGCCACATTTGGCACTTACCTAGACCGTAATGGGTTCATCAGTGTCATCCAAGCAGGTAATCTCATCACTGTTATGTCTCCTCTTCTTGGCAGGAACGGCCGCCTCGGGCAGCTTCCTCTTGTTAGCCGAGCTAGTAGGTTCAACCTCACACACTTCCTCATCTTCTCCCAAGATCATCATGTCGTCATCATCACTCTCTTCTTTGCTGTCTCCTAGAAAGACAGACACAAGTCTTGTAAGTTTATTATTGTATGTCTTTGTGAGTAAGTTACCAAGGTCGGACAGAAGGGAGATTGGAAGCGGTATAAAAGAGAATGGAACTAGAGGAATGAGCTGTTTAAAGTACTGCCTGAAATTAAACAAAGTGGGATGGAGTTGGAAATAAATAGTGCAGATAAGGAATGCATAAAGACAGATAAAGATGTTTATTGTATTGGGCCTAGTCAGTCAGGACCTAGTTGAAAAATCCAACAGCTATTTTGTTATATTTGTTTGCTTAAAGACTGTCTATTTTTAGATATAAAAAAAATCCTACCGACGATCACGCTGTGACTGCGGAGTCATATCGACGACCACGCCGTGACCACGAGTCATACCGACGATCACGCCGTGACCGCGGAGTCATACCGACTGCGAGTCACAAGTTTGTATACCTGTACAGTTTTACCCATTTTTTTTTTTTTTTATAGATCAGTGCCACAAATGGTAACAATTGATTTTGTTTGTCTTTTTTGGTAACTGCAATACTCAAGAGATTCTTTTTATGCACAGGAAAAAATCCCACCTCGTCCCGTCCCGAAAATCGGGAAGTAAATAAAAATCCCGTCCCGTCCCGTCCCAAAATAAAAATTCAATCCCGACCATAAAAAACAAAATAAAACAATATTTTTGAAGCATCATACTACAGTATTGTTAAAATAGTTACCATTTTTAGGAGCATCTTCGGCTTCTTTAGGTTTTGCATCTTCACCAGCAATCAATTCAAAAGTCTGGCCTTCAGAGAACTCCTCCCTGAAAATCATTCATAAATTTTGGGTTAGTCCATTTATTACTTTAAATTATTTAATTTTTGTTAATTTTTTGGTTCTGTTGGTATTGGTTCCTACACAAACATTTAGGGTAAAATATGTGTTTGTTATACCAAGAAAGTTACATTTTACAGTACCTCATCTTGATCTATCTTCATCTCAACAACATTTAAAATTTAAAGATTTAAAATGAATTGACAATAAACAAATACAGTAGAAACCCTCATATCGGTCCATGAGGGGACAGAGCCATGGTCGGAATGGCCAAAAAGGGTCAGATATCAGGAGCAAAAAAAAATTGTTTTCCTTAAAAGTTTATTTTACAAAAAAAAAGCTTACACAGTATGTAACAATAAATACACATTATGAAATAGAAACATTTTCAATGGTCAAGTAAAAATACCCCAATCGCAGCAAAATCCTGAACAAATCCTGCGGTCATAGAAAAACCTGCATTGTCTTCTGCAATAATGGCAAAATCCTGAACATCTCCATCAGGTAGAAATCATCACCGTCTCCTGTGATCACGGAAAAATCCTAAACGTCTACTGTGGTAGTATGGACATCATCATTGTCTACAAGGTTTCGGGAAAATATTAAGCATTTCCCATGGTCCTGGAAATATCATTATAGTCTCCTGCCATCACTGAAACTTGGATCGTTGACATCTGCAGCTTGAACTCGACTTACTGGCCTAGCATCCGTTCTCTCGAGTTTGTAGACTAGGCTCGGCTAAGCTCTAAAATTAAACCACTCGCACACCTCTATTGATATGTATAGTTTTTAATGGGACCTTAGGTAGGATTTTCCGATGATTAGATTAAGCCGAGGTCAGATATAATAGGTTTTAATGTAAAACGAAACTAACTAATGAAACTTCAAAGTATTTTTCAAAGTACAAGTTCCTTATTTTAAGAGGCTTTAGGTAAAAATTCTCAAAAAGCAAAAAGTTGTCTCAACAGCTACAGATTAAATAAATGTTGCTTTTCACACATTAAGTTGTCTTAAGGGTCAACTATAATATATTTTTTATAAAGCGGATTATAAAAAATGTTGGAGTCGAGATACAATAGAACCTCTTTAATCCGAACTAATTGGGACCGGGGGTAGTTCGGACTGTTGAATAGTTTGGATTACAGAACATATTGTTGTTTTTACATAACAATAGTTAGGGAAAAGTGAAAAATGCTTAATTGAAATAATTGATTAATTGAAATAATTAAGGTGCGTATATCAATAAATACAGTATACAATAAAGAACCACGGTACTGTGTATAGAGTACAGGAATGAGGTGTTCGGATTAGTGGACGTTCGGATTACAGGACCTATCTTGTTCATATTACCAATGACCTGCCAGATTTCCTTCACCAACATTGCCATACCGTTATGTATGCAGATGACTCTGTTCTGCTGACATCGGGTAAATCTGTTGAAAATCTAGAAATGAGAACATTCGTGGCTCTTGGATGTGCGGAGGACTACTGTAGTAGCAATGACTTGGTTTTCAACGAATCAAAGACCATTCAACTAACCTTTGGAAACAAAAGAGAACATGTATCTGCTATACCAGGCCTACTGACTGTGGAGAGTACTAAACATCTAGGTGTAGTTATAGACGAACGACTTTCCTGGCAAAACCATCTAGACCAACTATGTCGACAGCTTAGTAGCGCTCTATATGCTCTGAGAAGAATTAAAAGCGTCTGCACGCAAGAGGCTGTGCTTGTGGCGTATCACGCCCTATTTGAAAGCCATCTACGGTATGGAATAGCAGTTTGGGTGTCTGCTGCTCTTACTCACTTGGATCGAGTATTGATACTGCAGAAAAAAGCTCTGAAAATCATGTATGATGTCGACTGGCTGGAAAGTTCTAGAGGTTTCTTTAAAGACAATGAACTACTTACTGTAATCAGTCTCTACATAATAGAAACCATTATTTTGGCCTCAACCAGGAATCTCAAGCAACATGAAGAAGTACACAGCTATGAAACGAGAAATAAAACCAACTACAACCTCCCTGCTCATCGCCTTGGACTCTTCGAACGTAAGCCTACCTATGCTGGATCAAAATTCTTCAACATGCTGCCAGGAGAGCTGAAAGATGACAACCCTAAAACCTTAAAAGCTCAACTCACCCGTTGGTTCTGCAAGATGCCATTCTACAGCATAAGAGAATTTATGGACTGGCAGAACTTTGTTTGTATTTGACAATTTATCTCA